TGGCCTCAGATTTAACAAGTGGTCAAATGTGATGAAAATATTTTAACGTCCTTAACAATGAACACTTCTATCTGACCTTTTCTTCAACAACACATTCATTTTTAAAGGGACTCGACGGAAGTTTTCTGAAATGACAGGACTGGAAATAACTATCCAGGATTAATATTACATTTGATGTAGATCTAGACCAATAACATGTGATCATTCCTTCACTCTGATTTTCTGGAACGATATTTCTTATTGAGAACAAGAGCACAGCTAGGCGGAGCATTATATGCCTGTAAGTGATTTTTCTTTTTTTTTAGTAACGATGAAGCATTTGTAAGACATGGGAATTAAATAAAGTATTACCTCCTTCAAATTAATATGAAGTTTGAATATTGTGGGCCAAATGGAACCTAAGTTATGCTCCAGAAACTGTTTTCAATTTCTAAGTAATAGTGACCTTGACCTTTAACCTTGTGACCCCAAAATCAATATGGGTCTTCAACCCAATATGGACAATCATCCTATGAAGCTTGAAAACTGTGAGCCAAATTGAACTTAAGTTATGCTCCAGAAACTGTTTTCAGTTTTAAGGTAATAGTGACCTTGACATTTGACCTTGTGACCCCAAAATCAATAGGGGTCTTCTAACCAATATGGACAATCATCCTATGAAGTTTGAATATTGTGGGCCAAATGGAACTTAAGTTATGCTCCAGAAACCAAATTACTAACTGACGGACAGACAGACGGACGACGCCAGAGGGTATAACATAATATGCCCAAAATTCTTTCGGGCATATAAAAATGAGTCAAAATTGAAAAGCGTCACAAAACTTTTCTCTCAAATGGGGTAAAAATACCACAAAAATACAATTTTTAATTCATTTTCAAGTATATTTCTTAATTAGCTTTGCATATCTTTCTGTTTTATGTGCCCCAGTTCTTAGGCTTTTGGACCTCAGTGGATTTCCTTTAAGCAACAAAAATATCATACAGTATCATACATTTATAAAAACATTCAGTTTCTTCATCAACACACAAAATCTTAAGTAATATGAAAATGATTAAAATAACTTATTGTCTTCAATTATCATCTTAATACACAAATATTTTATATCAAATATATAACAGTTTTATATCAAAATATGTGCAAATTCTTTAAAAAAAATTATTATTAAGTGCTGAACACTTAAAATATATAAAAAAAATCATTATTCCTTCTACGAAACTTCTTGATTATGAATATTTACATAGCAACTTCCCATCATACCAGCCTCTCTTTCAGTTCATGGAACACTATAATGACCATTTGATGGGAGGATATTCAAATGTAAAAATAATTACCTCACAATAAAATGTGTTGGTATGTCACACTTATTACATGTCATTACTCACAACATAAATGGAATATTATGCTTTAAATGGATATGCTTAGAATACATTTCTTTAAGTCAATGTGAACCTAAAAATATATTATTAGCCAATATAGCTACTTTAGAAATCGGTGAACAAAAAAAACTCATAAAGGCTAAATACTGCTTTAACACTTTGAAATCTAGTTGCCTAGCAAAGTTCAAGGCAGGCCTATTGTCAAAACAATCACAGTTTGTTCTTTATACAATCAAACCCCTAGAATATCACATAAAACAATACCAACTTCATAACAAGGCAGTTCATTATTGAAAGATATACTATACTCAAATTTGATATTATAAAATATTAGTAATTGCTACACAGTCTCTTTGTAAATAGAAAATATACATGTTTTGACTTTGCACAAAGAAGATACGTTATGTTTAAAATTCTACACACTTTAGGTGGTCACAATAATATGAATTAAAAAACTGGCAGTCTTTTTAAGAAAGACCAATTTTACTTGACCTGTAATAAGGACTGCAGCTTAGATAAATAGATTATCTTTCTTTTTCAAATACTCTATGTCAAAAGACAATTACTCTGTAAGAATTTCATAGATTTCAATAAATTTCTGTGATTAAAATATTTTACTCAAGAATGGGCACAGTATATCTTGAAATAAATAGCTGTAAGGAATAAAGTATTTTACACTACAGTATCTGATATGTACTCTTTAGATTGTACAGAATACATGGATGCTTTGTTTAATATCTATTAAGGCAATAAAGCTGCATGCCTCCAGATGAGCCAAAATATTTCAAGAAAATCAAACTTGAGGAAAAAGGACCAAGATTTTAAGAAAAGGAAAAAGATTAAAAATTCAATCAATAATTTCCATATTATGTGCCATTAATGATATTGCAGTAATTTTCACCATGTTTCTACTGCATTACTCTAATGCATGACTAATGCAGTAATAGCTATTTCGCATATTTTGACCTCTTTTAGGTAATTACATGGATTGTAAGTGATGTGAGCAATGAGTAAATTACTTTTTGTATTAATGTCAAAATATTTTACTTTTAATGCATTTTCATGAATATTTGCATGGATCTGAAGGCATGCAGCTTAAGAAGACATAAGGAATTACCACTGGACTTAAGGAATTCCATACAACAAGATAAGGCGACAATCTAAATGGTGAAAAAAAAGATTGATCTGTACACAGGGGCCATTTAAAAATATAAGTAAAAAATTGTTGTTTTTTATTTCATTTTAAAATCATTTCATCATACCTATTTTAGTTTGATAGTAAATCCTTAACTTTGGAGTGTTCTTCTTAGAGTAATGTGAAAAGAAACATTGACAAACCTCAAGTAGGTCTTGTGGAGGTAGGTTTCTGGGTCAGAAGGTAGACATTTTAACCAAATGACCACATAAAAAACAAATCTATATAATTAGTATTCATAAAATTAGCAATATACAAGGTTAAAACCTGAGTACATGTATTTGGGAGTTAAAATGGCACATAGAAATTACATGCTCATTTAAATTTATCAAATATTTATCACATTATCTGCTGGATATAAAAAGTAAAACTACAGTACAAAAATATTGGTAAGATAAAAGTTACTATTTTGGTTTTCCGGGTAACAATAAAACAATGACCTGATACATTCTATACCCAAACAATACTGTCCTCTGGTACCCAAATATAAAACAAGAGCTGTCTGTAGGACAGCACGCTCGGCTATTCTAAGTGCTTGATAGTAAAAGAGCCTTAATATTGTTTAATTTTTTAAGTTCACAAAAGGGCTAATTTTTTTTTATAAATTCATGTTATAGGCCTAAGAGAGAGTCTAATTATACAGTATTGGCTTGACTATTCGGAAGGTAATGTCACAAGGGTGTTTTATTGAGTATAATAATACTAATTACCTATGAATAAATAAATTTGACAGAAAAGGTACAAAGGCTTGTTATTAAGATGTTTTATCAAGTAAATCACTGCTTTATTATTATGAATGCATAAAATTGTGTCCCGAAAAAGGCACAAACCCTTCAGTAGTTATTGAGATAACAACTTACATGAAAAACTTAACCATGAATTTCTAAGTTGAAAAAAGGGAGAAAAATCAGCCTAAATGCAAGATAGAATTATGGATCTTTGTCAGTGACCTACAATTATGACCCTAAATGCATATGTGAAGTTTTTAATAAATATCTTTAATAGTTATTGAGATATGTAAAACTGGCATGTAAACACTAACCAAGAGACTAAGTAGAAAAGGGGATATGAATCAGTCTTAATGCAAGATAGAGTTATGGAACTTGGTCAGTGACATACAATTATGACCCTCCAATTATGACCCTAAGTGCATGTGTAAAGTTTCAAGTAAATATCTTTGAAGACCTTTAATCTTTAACCAAAATTTCTAAGTTTCAAAGGGGCGAATAATTCTGCAAATATTGCAGGCAGAGTCATGCAATTTTGCAAACTGATGAACATTGTTACTATAAAAAAGTATTTTAAATTTCAATTGAATATCTCAAGCAATAATTGAGATATTTGACTTTACAAAAAACTTTAACCAAAATTTCTAAGTTCCAAAGGGGCATAATTCTGTTAATATTGTAGGCAGAGTTATCCAACTTGTCAATCTGATGCACCTTGTTACTATAAATAAGAATTGTAAGTTTCAATTGAATATCTCAAGCAATAATTGAGATATTTGACTATACAAAAAACTTTAACCAAAATTTCTAAGTTAAAAAGGGGCATAATTCTGTCAATATTGTAGGCAGAGTATTCCAACTTGTCAATCTGATGTACCTTGTTACTATAAATAAGTATTGTAAGTTTCAATTGAATATCTCAAGCATTGATTGAGATATTTGACTTCACAAAAAACTTTAACCAAAATTTCTAAGTTAAAAAGGGGCATAATTCTGTCAATATTGTAGGCAGAGTTATCCAACTTGTCAATCTGATGTGCCTTGTTATTATAAATAAGTATTGTAAGTTTCAATTGAATATCTCAAGTAATAATTGAGATATTCGACTTTACAAAAAACTTTAACCAACGCAGACGCTGACGCGGACGCTGACGCCGACGCGACTACAATAGCTCTCATATTCTTCGAATAGTCGAGCTAAAAATGCTTTGATTAAAATACTAAAATAAACACTTAAAACTTTTTTAAAACTATCTATAAAACTATAATATACATGCATTATGATTTTACATTTAAACAACAATTAGCTTTTCAAAGTTCCTGATTATTCTTTTTTTTACCGCACTTGATACTAGAGGGGACTTCAAAGCCATGAATAACTAAATAGATGCTATCCCGAACACAGCGACTTGTGTTTTTTTCCAAGCTAATCCTGCAGTACAAACTTTTACTCCTACAGCTTCAAAGTGCACTTCCTTTCACAGTAGTTTAGTCAACCACTGGGTTGCTAATTGACGTAATTGTCAAAGTTGTAACTCTGAAAGTTTTTATATACCCCTGGATTAGCTGGGAAAACCCAAATATACTTCAATACAAAGTACATTGTATCTCTATTTCAAGGCTTTGATTTAAAACTTTCAAAAATGTATAATAATTCCTTAAGAAAATTGTCATTAGGAAAAAAGTTTTAAAAAAATATGAAAAAAATGAGTAAATTTAGCTACATATATTATTAGCTTTGTGTGTATTTAAACTTTTGTAGTATGAGGATTTTCAATGTAATTTGTTTCATCAGTATCTAGTTCATGACATAGAGACTGGTAGCATGAGTATTCTTCTGACTTCAGACAACACGGTATCTGTCCCCTACCTAATGGATGAAAACATATGTAGTATGTTAACTGAAAAAACAGTTGTAACAGTACCCCTAGAGACACTACAAAAAACGTTGGTATATAAAACCACTGACTCTTGTCATCAGTAAAGTAAAACCAAAACCCCATCATTGCCCAATTTTCTGCGTATACTATGAAATAATATACTAACATTCTGTATCTTGTTGCACCGTCTCGAACATTCAGAAAGCAAAAGACTAGAACATATCCACATACGATATTAAAGAATCTCTCTTCGCACCGATTCTGGTAAAACTGCGTCTTTTGGCAGAATAGCCATCCCGCCATTGCTATCCAGTGCACACCTACCACGAAGAACACAATATAGTCAAACAGTGCGGCAAACAAACCAAGAGCAATAACTCTAGGTCCTATTTCAAAGGCACGCCATAAAAACGAGAAAACCATCCCTGGTATGGTAATATTTTCTTTGTCCTCGTGAGAGAACCTCAGGGCCTTCTGATAAGCGACCATGGACCAGGATAGACTTGCCCACGATGATAATATTGCTGCAGCCCGTATTCCCTCTGAAAAATAGAGCACAATGTAATATATGCATGCTGTCAAGTCATTTTTTACCATTTATGAAACAGAAAATTTTAACTGGGATAGTTAATAAGTTTTCTTTTATCACACAGACTCAAAATGGTGCAATTTGCATTCAGTATGTTTAAATTACCATCTTTCAATCTGGACAAAACAATTTACTGAATTTATCATTGTACATGAAAACTTCAAATAGGTATGACTATCTAAAGATTAGCAAACAGTGATTATTCAGATCATCAATGGTCTTTGTGTGATTACATTATTATCAATCTGATCTAACTGTGCAATACAATACAATAAAGCACTAAAAAATAAAGCATAATTCTCAATTTACAACATAATCTGGGGGACATATCTAAAGCATCACAAGTACTGCAACATTGAACTTACTAATAACAACTTCAGCAGGTTGTCCAGCTTCATTAAAGATTTTAGAATAAAATAAAATCTTAATCTAATTCTTGGCGATTGCAAAATGGTCAGATATGAAAGTAAACAGATACCTATTCAGGCATTATGATAACTGCTAGGTAGTACCTTACAAGGTACTACATGAGATTATCTATCGAATATCATAATAACCACAGAAATTAAATTACCACTCTGGCAAGTTATAGTGAAAATAACACTAAATATTTAGTAACCTTGATGATGTATTTAATTCATATTTACAACTAATCATTTTCTCAATACTGTTCTTATACGTTATTATAATACTGCCCATTTTGTAAAACATCCATTTTCATTTGATAATCATTATGTTCATATACAGAGCAACTGTCTACAAACACATATGAAGTTATTTTCCCTGAAATTTTCCCCCAAATAAAGTAATTATGCTGTATTACGAATTACGAAGCATATAACCATTTATATGAATCATAAAATCAGTCAGTCATCTTTATAAATAATATTATAATACTGCATGTTTGTAACATCGCTTTTCATTTGATAATTGTGACATTTAGATGGTTTTTTATACACAGCTGCTGTCAATTTATGAAGAAATCTTACTTTTTCTGTAAGAAAGGAAATGTGCTGTATTATAGATTTGTTATAAATATTCCTGACATGTTATAAGACTGTATATAGACGGCTTTTTGCAATATAACCATTGTCTAGTGACCTGGTTTATATTTCCAAACAACCATTTATATGGGTCATAGAACCTGCCAAAAATCTTTATACATGTATAACTAATAATATACACTGTTCATGTCAATTTCAGACAACTTATCAACTATTTGGTGTTACCTAGAAGCCATGATTCTTGCTGTCGATGTAGCATTAAGATATATATCTGTAGAACAAGCTGTGGTGCGGCTTCCAGGAAACACTCAAACATTCGTATACAACAAGCATCCACATCTTCCATCCTCATCACAATGTAATGACGCTTCTTTTCCTTTGGTGGTAAATTTTTACTGCTGCTTTTTAAACCATTGTATATGTACTCGATCTGTCTGTTTTGTTAATAAAAGAAATACAGAAATAGAATTGACAGGCATTATATAAATACAATGTGAGAAGGCAAAACACATTCAGAAGCAAGAAAATATCAAAACTTATAGACAGTAGTAGTACTAGTACTGTATACAATACAGGTGTGATGGTATCATTTTCCATTTGAGCTATTTACAAAATAAAGGCACATAGTGACTGTGTAACCCATATTCTTTTCAATTCCTTAGACTTTCTGAAATATCAAACATGTGTTAAATAATGTTTAAATAATGGATTAAAAACATGTTAGATGTTTTACGACTGAAAAAAGTAGCGATGAACATGGCATGAAGTCATGTGTTATTCAGGAAGCAAAATGTCAACAAAGTAGTATTTTGATTTCCATACAAAATACTTTTTAGTTAGAATTATACAAATTGCTAACAGAAATAAAGATGCAAAAGATAGTTCATGTAAATAGTAAATGTTTTACAAAATGTAGGGAACTGTAACAATGAATTCAAACAGTTTTTGAGAAATAAAAATGATAGCATTTCTGAGGCATAATTAAATGATAATGGGCCTTCAAAGTAACAAGTTCTTGATTCAGTCCCAGCCGTAATGATATCCATATCAGATGACAAATATTGATGATTTATTAATCAAGTATAACTTTTCTATATTTCACTTTCATACCTGTTTTTCATAAAGTCAGTAAAATATGTAAATACAATTATGATGTGTAATGTTAATAAAATATGTTCTTTAAATGCTTTTCTAACCGCCTTTTCTGATTACCACTATAGACTATATTCATCACATTACAGTGTAGTTTAAGAGATGTCCTTTTGACTTGGCACCTGTTTCTATGTATGTTTTGCACCTGTTTCTATGTATGTTTTAGGTGAACTTTTATCTTTCCTAGACATTTTAATAATTTGTCTAAATCAGTGACTTTTCAAACTGTAATGATCTTTTATCAACAGAAGAATATCAACAATACACTGACATTATTTCTATTGATGACAGCTCCAAAAGCAAGGATAATTCCAATCAAAATAATCAGACATTAGACAGTAACATACCTTATAACTGGTCCCATCATCAATAGCGTCAAAGTAAATCTTACTAGCCACAGACACATAGATGTATGTTTAACATGTTCTTTTCCACGATTTTTAATCAATATCTGCTGACTCTGGTAATCCAACAGGTACCAACGAAAGTTCAAAACACACGTAATAAAAGACGGCCCAACAATGAAAGCTGTTGTTAAAGCAAACTCCAACATGTTGTCTTGATGAAAATAATCTCTTGCTAGTAAAATGTCTGTGACGACATCAAAGTAGAAGAATGCAATTGATGACAAGCCGATCAGAACGTCCAGACATGTGAAATCTGGACCTGTATGTAAGACCTCTGTCTCAGAGTGACCATCATGCGGAGGAATTTGACGTCTTCTTCTATCTGTGTGTTCAAAATCAGGGAGAGGTTGATCTGGATGTATGAATCTGTCTATATCCGAACATTGTGAGGAACTTCTACTCTATAAAATAATAATTTTTGAAATCATTAATATTTTGTTCCTTAATTTCTTATGTAAATAAAACTTTTTACATAGATGTCATCTGGAACATACGATACGTTATAGTACATCCCAGATGTCATCGAAAGCAAAATGATATCCTATAAATTATAATACACTTAAATGCATTATATATTACACAATTCTGAATTGATTGTTAATGTAAAATAAAGAACCTGACACTTATTGATCCATCTATTCTTCTGTTAAATGTTATATTAATTTATAAATTCAATTATAGTAAGGGTATTAAAATATGTTATTGATAAGTACTTTATTTATTAACAAGTTGAATAAAAATTATAATGCAAGTCTATGATAAGCATAATGTTATTAAAAATTTTGATCTTAGAGTTCGATCATTTCTAGAAATATGATTTTTTTATGACATAAGCCCAATCGGGCATTTTATCAGCCTGTTAAACTTCTATTTTGTGTTCTCTGAATTCAAGGAAAGCTGCCTGTTTATTTATTTATCAATTTATTTGGTACGACTTGTTTTGAGTACGACCTATTTCAAAAACATCAGACAACAAACCTGGACTTGAACGAGGTCAGGAAAGTCTGCAGCTTCACAACATGTTTTATCACACGCTTTTAAAACGGAATCACTTTCGTCAGACGGACAATAGCAATAAGCAGCAACTTGTTCCGAATATTTGCACCGTCTTGAGTGCGGAAGTTTCTTCTTTGACACCATTTTGACAATATGTGCACTCCGCAACTTTTTGGCCCTGTCAAACGTTATTGATAATAGGCGAGATGTTCCGAAAGCGTTCTGAACCGTGAGCGGGTGCGGGCACGGGTAATTGACTATTATATATAGGCCTGCCTATCGCGTAAAATCAACTTTAAAAAAAAACTTATTTTAAAGATAGAGGATTAAAAGAAAAAAATCGCGCTTTTTATTTTAATATGAAAAAGGCAAAGCCTCAAAGCGAGCTCGATGTACTTTTAACGTGAAATAGTATGAAATAATCGCTCATTTTTATTTCAAATGCAGTGACGAGTGTGCGTGTGACGCGTACTTTGTTAGATATGGATCCGCCCCTGTCGTTAAATGAATAACGAGTTTTGAAAACGTTGATAAAACTTTGTTTATTTTATTTCACTCTATAATTTTTCAAGCGAAATAAAGATTATTAAAAGTGAAATAAACGTAAAACTTAAAATGTTTGCGACATTAAGGTATGAGACCCCTAATGAGCACTATAAGGAACTATAAAATTGACAACATAGGTCAGTTATATACCTTTAAATACACAAGAATGCAAAATTTAAACAAAGTTTACCGTATGTTTTACGAGTCATGAAGATTTTTCTAAAGTAAAACTTGGCTAATAGAAGGGCTCTTTTTCAGAAATGAGAAACTCTTATTATTCTATTATATAATAATTATGTAATAATGTTTTCCTATAGAAAATATTTTAGAAACAAATAATAGCATTCAGCTAACAAATGACCCAGCAAAATTATTTTTTCTACTCAAAATGTTTAAAATATGTAAATATGTATATAAATGTTACCATACCCCACCCATTTTAAGTAGTTGTTTGATCATTTTTCTACTTGGAGGGCCTAATTCAAAATATCCCTAAAATTTTCTCAAATCAGAGGCTGTTTTCAAAGTTTGCATAAATTTTCTTAAAAGTATATTGGATGCGCTTGTCAAATATAAAATACTTTTACCGTCTAGTTTTTATTTTATTAGACTTTGAAAATATCAGGTACCATATTTGATAATAAATTTGGCACAATTTAGCCAAAAGATACCAATAATAATTTTATAATTAAAATGAAACACTTTTTTCTTATCAAGAGTGATCTGAGAGACACAAATAATGTTCAAAGAAAAAAAAGAAAGAAAAAAAAAGTTGCCTCTTCTGGGGCTTGAACCCACGCCCCTCAGTTTCAATGCGGTTGACAGTAGTTCTAGTCTATTTGAGTACTCTTCAAAGTGGAGGTAATGCATAAGGTGCTGTTTGGCGCTACATTGTGACGTCACGTAAACAATACTTTAAACGTCTGTACAGCGTTAACGACTGAATAAAAGATATTGGTGTTCGGATTCATTTTCTTAGTTAGACCATTTTCTTTCATTCTCGATAGTTTTCACAACAAAATTCGACAAAAAATTGTTTTAATTTATCAGATTTTTCAAACAAAATGGCGCCTTCAATTTTCTTCGATATTTCACAGCTTCCGTTATTCTGGTTTCCTGTTTAATTATGGTTCCCATAGACGTGCGCGGGTGACCAGTCTACACATCCGTTTTCAGTCAGAATTCCTCAGTTTTTATCGTTATCTTTAAATTCGAAAGGTTGCGATGTGTCAAATTCGTTACTTTGGACGAAAGTTTTCAAAACCATCACTTAGCAGGTACTCGCGTTACCGTTAAGCTCGCTTTGCGAGCAGGCCCTTCGGGCCAGCTCGTCGAGCTCGCTAATAAGAAAGCCATGCTTAAATCATGATATCAACCAGATCTCAAAGCTCTGGGACTAGATCTAATAGATTTAGTCTAGGCCCTATTAAATTACATCCAAACGGCATTGCATCTAAAAAAATCTTTTACATATAGAGCTCTATTCAATTTTTCTGTCAAATTTGGCTACCAAATTAAACACACAAAAAGCCCCAGTTTCGTCTTGGATTACATGTATCACAACTCACAGACATCAGGTTCTTTCAAAATCATATTTAGATATATTACTAAGAACGAGCAATTGAATTTTCTCGGTTAAAGATATTTTTAGTAATGCCGGTGTAACATTGTAAACTGACCCCCATAAAATAGTGCCCCCGGTCAATATTTTATATAAAATAATGAACCCCGGTCATAATATCATGACACGGGAGTCTAAATGTCACTTGTCCGTGCGTGTGTCCGTGCGACTGTGCAACGATTCGACCGAATCTTTTCACTTCTACTGGACGGAATTGTTTCATAGCTACAAACTCTCGCGGATAACTACTATAATCGAAGCTTAGCCTCAGTCTGCATTTTCTACAAATGACAACGGCTAGGTATATGTCATTCGAATGCAGTCCTTGTTTGTTCTTATAAGCTCGACTATACGAAGTATATGTAGAGCTGTTCTACTCGCCCCGACGTCGGCGTCCGCGTCCAGATTTAAGATTAAAAGTTTTGGTGCAGTAAACTATTTTTCACTATCACTTTTTTCATTTCTAAAGGTATCAACTTCATAATTCAAATATATGTTTATTATCATTAACCACATCTTATGTGACAAGGTTCATAACTCAAGCACCAATATTTTCAGATTTATCTCCCCTTGAACTTAGAATTTTCCTTAAAAATTAATATTTTTTACTTTTACTTCTTTATTGATTAAGAGACCAACTTCATACTTCAAATATATGTTCCTTATCGTTAACCACATCTTATGTGACACGGTCGTTAACTCTAGAACCAATATTTTCAGAATAATGTCCCTATGAACTTTTTTGTTACTTGAAAAATGTTATTTTTTACTATAACTTCTTTAGTTTTAAGGGATCTACTTCGAACTTCAAATTCATATTCCTTATCATCTGGGACATAAGATAACTTATGTCCCAGTTATCATCAACAACAATTTATACGACAAGGTTCATAACTGCTGAAGCAATATTTTCAGATTTATCTCCCCTTTAACTTAGAATTTTCCTTGAAAAAATCGTTTTCTACTGTTACTTCTTTATTGATTAAGAGACCAACTTCATAATTAAAATATATGTTCCTTATCATTAACCACATCTTCATAATGACAGGGTTAATAACTCTAGCACCAATAGTTTCAGATTTATCTCCCCTTGAACCTAGAATTTTCCTTAAAAAATAATTTTCACAGCACTTCTTTATTAATTAATTCATATTAATTTAGGGATCAATTTCTTACTTCAAATATATAAATTTTTTATAACATTTATTTACAAGGTCATATGCAATTATGTTGTGCAAAAATAAAAAAAAAATTGAGTGCTTTCTTGATACTGATACAGAGATATATATATTTATATCATAATTGATTTTTCTTTCATAGTTTGTCTCCTTAGGGCATTAATTGTGAAAACAGCATTCGAGAGCCATTACAATTTTTCAAAAGTAACATGACTGTCTTGTAAGGCGAAATGTAATTATTTATGACGGACGTTAAATGGTTTTAAAAGTTCGCGATTCTTTTAAGTTCAGAGAAGTTTTTCGATGGAAAACTACGAACGACTTAAGCAGGTGTTGTTCAGATGCGCATCATTATATCCCTCGTGCTACGCCCTCGTGATATAACCCCTCGCATCCGTGATTTTATTTAGCGATAAAATCATTGTTGACGAAATGTTTTAGAAATATATATGACAAACAGTGATTTTATCGATTAATTAAATCACTGTTTGGAGTGTGGATGCGAGAAATTTTATCATGAGGACGTAGCCCGATGATAAAATGATCGATGCAAAACCGAACGACAAACAGTCGTGTTTTTATTAAGAGATGAAATCACTGGTTTGGATACATTAGTTCGATTCTAACACGATATCAAGAAATTTATATGTTGCCGTACCTGATATTTAGCTAAATTGAGACTAATTTGTTTCCGTACTTATATTCAGCGCATGGCATTTTTACGTCACATGTCTAATGGTTACGTCATGAATATGTCTAAATATAAATCGTCAAAAGTGATTCTATTCCATTTTCTAATACAACCCGCATTTTTCCCTGTTGAACATAGAAAAACCGAAAGTGTGTGTTATTCGCTTGATAACATCACTGTTTGTCGTCCAGATGCGCATCAATATATCACTCGGGCTAGTCCCTCCGCTCGTGATAAAGTTTCCTCACATCCGAACTCCAAACAGTGATTTTATTGAGCGATATTTAAAATCACAGTTTAGGATATATTATTTCTTAAATAACACACACACATTCGGTCCTTCTATGTTCAAAAAGGGAAATGCGGGTAGTGTTAGAATATTTCTTAAATAACAAAACGTCAAACCAACCATTTTTGCACATTTGTAGTTGATTTGTATCTACACATAATGCAGATCTTTATTTGCTAATGATCAGTCATTTAAATTATCTCCATAAAATATGCTGAATACAAATCAGTAAAACTTCACGTTTTCAAGTAGCTCTAGTATGTTAATGAAACGTTACATTCATTAAATTGAAATGTAACGAAGCACAACAACTAGATATATGATTAAAGAACATTTATGTATTAGACACTAAGCAAATATAATAGAGGAAGACTGCAGCTAGTGGAAAATTCAAGTGATAAATGTTTGCTTAACATGCACGATATGTATAAAAAAGCAGAAAAAGGGGAAAAAAGGATTGCTTTGGTCTGGGCTTTGAACTCTCATTCTTTACCGAAACTCTGTGCTCTCACTGAAAATTAGCACGATTTCAGATTGGAGAATTTGCATTAAGCATTTACTTCTTTAAATTTCATTTTTTTAAGGCACAACAATTAACAACAACAACACATATACGCAATTGTTATATGTCTTTGACTTCACAGATTGTTAGGTGGGCGTCAATATTTTATAGATAAAATAGGGGATCATTGTTTTATATATAAAGGGGTCACTTTTTTTATAGAAGGGGGTTACATAATGACCGGGGGTCATTATTCTATAGGGGTCACTTTACAACGTTACACAGGCTACTAATGCTACCAGTGAAAGGACATTCTCGGCGCTCAGAAAAATAAAGACCTATCTGAGATCGACAATGTCTTAAACAATCTTATGGTGATACATATTTATAAGTACAGGACAGATTCGCTCAACTTACGTTTAATTGCCGATGAGTTCATTACCACCAGAGCGACGACGATGTGTTTGGAAAATTCACATAAAATGAGATTCTGAGCGGTCTAAGATTATTGTGAACATGCCAAACGATAACCTGTCATGTACTATGTAAACCGCATGTTGTCGATTGTTAATTAAAGCTTATACCATTGTGTACTTTATGCTGGGACTAGTAATGTGTATCTTTCTGTCCCAGGATTTATGTTACTCCCTTCATGTAATATATAAACTGTTCTAGTATGTAATATTTCTTGTATTTGTTTATTTATAATTTTCAGATAGAAAATGCATCTAAAGAATTACAATAACATCAATTATTGTTTATTCAATCTTTTAGATAAAAATGCAACAAAAGAATTATAGAATTATAATAACATCAATTGTTGTTTATTTTTCATTTGTATACAAATATCAATTACATGTATTCATCTTTTATGTACACCTGTCCGTTCATTATGCGAACCTTTTATCAATTAAAATCACGACGCACAAATGTGTGTATATTAGAATAAAACATTTACTAGCGGCAGATTGTAATCTGTGCCAAATATAAGGGAAAACGGCCCTGAGTGCATCCACACACACCTAGATTCTAGGCTAGAACCAACCTAATTGGCCGAACGAAACACAGAATCATAAATAAAATATATAGAGGATATTTGTTTGTTTGGTGTAAGATGAAATTTTATTTCATCGAGTGGGCTTTAAAAACAGTATTCTTACGAGTGGCGTAGCCACGATTGAGAACTACTGTTTTTTAAAGTTCACGGCAGCCATTTTTTTTATATTTGTGTAATTCACAGGAGGAAAATAATTGTGTTTGATTCAGAGGGATATCATTTGGATTTGTTAGTCATACACCTTTTTAAAAGAAAGAAAACTTTTTTTGAGGATTGCAACAGACAAAAAATAAGTGTTGACAGATGTGAAAACATTCAAAAAAGCAGCTAGGAAAATGGAAAATTTGGAAGCTGGCTCAGGAACGCTGGGTTGTTAACTTGTTCTTCGAGTGATGGCTGTCATTGCTTTTCAATTTTTCATAAAGCATACGGCAGTTATTGCTCGTAGGATACTTTAATATGCCCAAATGTCATCAAGAGCAGTTTTGCATGTGGAAGGAATGTATTTTTTAGACTGTTAAAATGAAACAAAAATTTAGAGACGAAATTTGGTCATTGGAATTTGAATGAATAGAAGTAAGTTTTCTTCTTTTTATTACTTTTGACATTTAAGTTATTTATCAATTTCAGCTTTGCTTTTTCTTTAAACAGCCTGACATTGTCAGAATTGTCAGCAAAAATAAATCAGTAATCCACTGAAAAGCATAAAATAAACTCATTACATAAATACATTAGATTAGTAAGATAAAAATGCTTTCTGGATGGGTAGAAGTTTTTCTGTAGATTAAATATGTTTAGAACTTGTTACGTGCAAACCTATGAATTTTTTACAAAATCATAAAAGCTTAAGTATCAACGTTTAATTTAGCAACTCAAATTCCCTATTTAAAGGTAAAAATGACCATTTTTCAAGTATATAGAAAAGTTTTCCAAAGAAATCCGTAACATTTTCCAGGAACTCCGTGACAGTCATCATAAAAACTCCAAACAAGTTATAAGAACTCCATCCTTCCTGTGACAGTTCCTCTCTTGTGACTTTAGCGGATTTTCATAGAATAGTTCAGGCGTAATAACAAAAATGTAGATATAAATATAACATATACCTATGAAATTGAGGTGGGAAGGGTACTTGTTCTGATATTTATCTATTTACATACTGAAATTACGCTTGTTAATATATATGGGCCAAATAAAGACGACATTTCGCTTTTTAAAAAAAAATTCAAAGTTATATGGAAAGTAAACAAAATGAAACTTTTATCTTTGGAGGAGATTACAATTTACCTTTTGATCGCAATATCGATAATAAAGGGGGGACTTAAATACACAACTTAAAAACTTATGCTGTTAAAGCCTAAAATCATAAGTTGAAACATTTGATTTATATGATATATGGAGAATAGTGCACCCGACAGATAAGACTTATACATGGCACTCAAAGGAAAACCTGTAATATTTTGTTTATTGTCAATAGTATTTAAAAGTCAGACATAAAAGCGAGGTTCAAATTTGATCATTAATTAGTCAGCATATTTTAAGAAATGGGAGAACAAAAAAGAGGAAATGGTTTCTTTAAAATGAATAATACTATTTTATTGAATGATACATGAAAGGAAAAGGTGAAACAAGCAATAAATGATTTGAAAATTACCAATTCAAATATAGATCCGCATATAATTTTGGAATTAATAACAGGTTTAATTAGAAATGTAACTATAAAAGAAAACTAGAAAATTGAAAAATCAAACAACTTGAACGTGAGATGAATGAATTTATGAAATTTGTTACTGAAAGTAAAGATGAAATGATACAAACAAATCTTAAAACAAAACAAGATGAGCTTAAACAGATATACGAAATGCAAATAAATGGATACCTTACCAGATTGAAATTACAATATGATGAAAACGGAGACAAAAATATTAAACTCTTGAAACAGTTAGAACAAAACAAAGCGGAAAGTAAATTAATCAAAACACTGAATATAAATGGTAAAAATAACTGAACAAACCGGCATACTAAATGAACAATTTAAATACTTAAAATTATTTAATGAAAAAAAAAGAAATAAAATTTCTTCTGCAAAAACTCAAAATTAATTGAAGAAGAAAAGAAATTATGCCAAGGTCCTTTAACGCTAAATGAAATAAAAGATGCAATAACAAATATGAAAAAATGGCAAAAGCCCCAGAACAGATAGAATAAATGCCGACTTCTATAAAAAAAATTGGAATATAATGAAAAACGATCTGCTAGCGTCACTGAATCAAAGTAAACACAATATTTTTTTCTGAATTACAAAGACTTATAACTCTTTTACCTAAATCAAACAAAGATTTGAATCTTATTGAAAATTGGAGACTTATAAGTTTATTAAATGTTCACATACCAAATTGGGCAGAAGAATGCCAAATTAGCAAATTAAATATGAATAAGGGTTTTAAATTTAAATAATCATCCCATAAAAGTTTAAAAAAACAGGTTTTGTTAAAAACAGATACATGTATGGGAGAAAATATCAGATTATTGTGTGAAGCAATAGAATACACTGCAAACCATAATAAATCTGGAATACTTTTTTTACAGACTTTTAAAAAGCATTTGATAGCATTGATTACAATTTTATTAATGAAATCTTAATCTATTTTGAATTCGGAGAATCTTTAAAAAATGGGTTAAAGTTTTTTACAACTCCCCAACAAGCTGTGTATCATAAAATGGACATACATTTAGCTTTTCTTTAAATTGAAAGAGACCATTTGATTTATATATCGTTCATGCACATATGTGTTTATTGTATGTCTATGGATCAAAGGATATTATTGGCATTAACAGATTATTATGCAATATATACGTCAAGGATGTAACTTATGATGGGGGATGACTCCGACCCCTTCATACAGGCTAAATAAACGCGGTTACCCAATTGGGGCCTCAAAATAAAAATTATTTCACGAAAAAGTTTTTTAAAAAGAAAAGAGATATGTAAATAGATCAGTGCATTAAATATATAACAAATAAATTATGTCTTTCCCTATGTTTAATATTGTGGTTTCAAATGGTATTTATTTCGTCATTTTCTAAATCATGACATAAATATTGGTAACACGAGTATTCTCCTATTTGATGACGGAACGGTATCTGTCCCCTACCTAATGGATGAAAACATCCATAGTACATGAACTGAAAAAACAGCTGTAACACTAAGCCAAGAGGCATTACAAAAAACGTCGGTATATAAAACCACTCTCCTTTCGCATCGGTGAAGTAAGACCAAAAACCAATCATTATAAAATTTTCTAATACGACAATAATGTAGTAAACTAGCATTTTATATCTTGTGACACCACCTCGGACATCTAAAAAGCAAAACATATAAACAATTCCACACAGAAGGTCAAACAATCTTTCCTCACACCGATTCTGGTAAAACTGTGTCTCCTGAAAAATTAACCAGATCGACATTGCAATCCAGTGAACACCTGCCACAATGAACACGAAAGAGCGAAACTGCGGAGAAAATAAACCAAGAGCAATAACTCTAGGCCCTATTTCACAAGCACGCCATAAAAAATTGAAACCCATTCCTTGTAATGTATGATTTTCCTTGTCTTCGTGAGAGAACCTCTTGGCCTTCTTATACGCAACCAATGACCAGGCTAGACCCACCCAGGATGTAAATATTGCAGCTACTTGTCGTCCCCCTGAAGAATAAGAATCATTATTAACCATTATTAATTTTAATAAATGTAGTAAACTGCACTTACAGACTTCAAAACATATTTATAAAAAAGTGCAACAAAGGCAATTCAATTTTATTTTTTATCACTACATGTAATAAAGTTTGTTTTCTTAAATGTGTTTTCTTAGATGTGCGTGCCGATTTAATACTTTTGAAAATAAAATAAATGTAACTTGACTATTAGCAGTTTGTAAAATCTCCATAAACAATTAATATTTAGATTTCTTTAACGATCGTGGTATTCCTGTAATTAAACATAATTTACATTATATTATTTATTTGCAATTTGGGACTCAGGAATCATGCTAAAGTACAACAAATGCCAAATGGATAACTTTACGGACAATAGAATGAGAGGGGACAATCCATTTTATAATTGCGTAATCTAACAAACTGCTCGATACGTCAATAGATATCACAAGTAGAATAAGTCAGTGATATGTGAAAAACGTTAATTTAATTGTAAGACCTATGTGCCATGATTCATCCTGTCTTTGTGCTGTTATGATGTATATTTGAAGAACAAGCTGCGGTGCCACACAGAAGGTCAAACAATCTTTCCTCACACCGATTCTGGTAAACTGTGTCTCCTGAAATTAACCGATGACATTGCATCCACCAGTGAAACCTGCACAAATGAAACCGAAGAGCGAAACTGCGGGGCGGAAAAAATACCAGAGCAAACTCTAGGCCCCTAATTTCACAAAGCACGCCATAAAAAATTGAAACCCATTCCTTGTAATGTATGATTTTCCTTGTCTTCGTGAGAGAACCTCTTGGCCTTCTTATACGCAACCAATGACCAGGCTAGACCAACCCAGGATGTAAATATTGCAGCTACTTGTCTTCCCCCTAATTTAATTGTAAGACCTATGTGCCATGATTCATCCTGTCTTTGTGCTGTTATGATGTATATTTGAAGAACAAGCTGCGGTGCCGCTTCAAGGAAACATTCAAACATCCGTAAACAGCATGCATCTTCATTGTCCTCTCCCATGATTTTGTAGTGAATGTCTTTTTTCTTTTTTGATGAATCTTTACTGCGGCTTTTCAATCCGTGATATAAAAATTCGACCTGCCTGTAAGTAAAACCTAGATTTTCATATTAGTAGTTAATCAAATGATACTAATTTAGGAAATAGAATTTAGTATCAGGACATGCAGGGATGGAAAAAAATATTTTTAAGGTTCGTTATGAAGGCTATATTACTGTAATTTATTGCCTGCAGCAGATATATTTACATTTGGATACTCATCACAGAAATTCTTTGTGTTATCTGAAATAAGTTAAGCCCTGTGTTGTTATATCGTAAGAAAGAATAAAAATATTCATATTGAATCTTGGGCTTTATTTTTCATTTTCATCAAATATCTTTATGCTAATACTGACTTTTTAAAAATAGATAAATAAATAAAACTTTTACATAAAAAGTTCTTAAATATACCTTATAACTGGACCCATCATTAAAAGTGTCACAGTAAGCCTGGTCACCCAAAGAAACGTGGATGTCCCCTCACCGGATTTATTTTTGCAAGACTTCTGATGATCTAAAACATACCATCGGAAATTCACGAAACATGTTATAACTGAAGGAACAACAACGAAAGAAGCCGTTGAACCAAATGCCAACTTGTTTCCTTGATGGAAATAATCATTTGCTAGCAAAATATCAGTTACAACATCGGTGTAGAAAAATAATATTGATAAAAGGCCGAAAACAGCTTCATGGATGGTAAAGCCAGTTAGGGTATCTTGGTCTTCATTTGAACGACTTCGACGTTCCCCGCTACAAGTTTGTTCCGAACCGAGAAGTTCATCATGATGCATTATTCTGCCGATATCACCAACAAACTCTACAAAGGGAAAGCATATGTCGAACTTTTGCAATAAATTAACCAAAGGCAAAGTTAAAGATAAATGGCAAATTTATAACTATTTGAAGCATATTATCAAACAGACAGGAAGTCTTGTAAGAGATATACAACGCTATTGAATTACATGTTAGTAGGACCTTGAAACAAAATAATTTGCATACATGTACATGTGTGTATTTATTTTCTTCATGTTAAGAGTATTTTATATAATGAGTAGGAATTATATAAAACCAATTTAAAGCTACATGCCTCCAGATAAGTCAAGATATTGCAATAAAATTAAATTTAAGAAAAATGTACTGAAATTTTAGGAAAGTAAAAAGATTCAATATTCAAGTAATAGTTTGCATGTTCTGTGCGATAAATGACTGATTTTTCAGTATTTACAACTATATTTCTACTGCGTTACTAACGCAGTAAGGGCTATTTATGCATATTTTGACCACGTTTTGGTAATTTACAGGAGTTGTAAGTGCCACTGAAAATGCGTCAATTGCTTCATTTTCGTTACTTCACAATATTAAACCATCAGATACATTTTCAAAATTTTCATGAAAATTAGCATGAATCTGGAGGCGTGCAGATATATATATATTGTATACATTACATAAATAGAGGATATTGAATGAGTGTAAGTTCCATACTGAATTTATTGAACGAGTTGAATAATTGGCATTATGCTTTAATAAAGCTTTTTATTAGAGGGGAGATAATCATGTCCTATTATAATGTTCATTGGGTTAAACTAGTTTTCTCCCTTTTGAAGTCAGGTGTCTCTTGAAAGGTAACGGCTGTTTTTCATTTTGTTGAGTATTTTCACATCATAATGTTTAATTTAAACGATCAAAATATTGTAAGTTTGTGAAATTATGTTATACGAATATACTATTTATATTGACATGCTACTGAAATAGTTTATTTGCATGTGAAAATGCTGAAAATTTGATCTTTATTTTTCAGCGTTAGAGCACATGGTCCAAAATGGAAAAAATGACTGCCAAAAAAAAAAATTCTACTTAAATTAGCATATAACACCAATATGCTTTAGCCGATAGAAGGGTAATGCACAGGAAAATTAAATTTATCATGGAATGATTAATTATGCAATTTGCACACCTGAATATGGGATAGGCCTAAATGAAATTGCATGTAGATCTAGATTATGCAGTAAATCTGTAAACTGAACTTGAAGACGCATTATTATAGTATTTAACAATATCTATATATTCCGAATGTAAGTATAAATTATAAATTGCATGTTTTTTATTTATTTATTTTTATTTGGGGCGGGGGGTGTATATATTTGTATTATACTTCCGACTTCCGGAGTTATAAATATATGCACTAATGTTTGACTTGCCAATACTCCATATGGGCGCGCAGTCAAAAAATTTTGTGCCAAATGGGCCTTTATATTATGCCACATGGGCTTTTGTATGCATATATTTGAATGATACTTCCGACTTCCGGAGTTATAAATATGTGCACTAATGCTTGACTTGCCAATACGCCATATGGGCGCGCAATCAAAAATTTTTTGTGCCAAATGGGCCTTTATATTATGCCACTTAGGCTTTTGTATGCATATATTTGTATGATACTTCCGACTTCCGGAGTTATAAATATATGCACTAATGTTTGACTTGCCAATACGCCATATGGGCGCGCAGTCAAAATTTTTTGTGCCAAATGGGCCTTTTATATTATGCCAAAATGGGCTTTTGTTATGCATATATTTGCATGATCCTTTCGATTTCCGGAATTATAAATCTAGGCCCTAATGTTTGACTTGCCAATACGCCATATGGGCGCGCAGTCAAAAAAGTCTATGTGCCAAATGTACAGTATGCCAAATGGGTTTTTTGTATGCAATTATTTGCATGATATTTTTGATTACAGGAATTATAAATATATGTTCTTATGTTTGACTTGTCATTCGCCATATGGGCGTGGAAAATAATAATAATAATAATTTGTACCAAATGGGCCTTTTTTATCATGCCAAATGGGTTTTTTGTTCACATATATTTGTATGATACGTCTGACTTAAGGAGTTATAATTTATTCTTTAATTTTGACTTGCCAATATGCCATATGTGAGTGCAGTCAAAATTTGTTATAAATGCCAAATGGGGTTTTTATCATTTTATTTATATATATATTTATATATATAGATTTAAATATTTTATTTGTATGAATCTATATATTTGGAGTTAACAGTATAATTCTTTTTCAAATATATCTAAAATCGCAAAACAAAAATGTTTTATGCCAAATGGGCATCAATTTGAATAATCAATAAATTCTGTATATAGTTACTTTTAAGTAAATTAATATGTATTTAATTTTTGACTTCCTTAGGTCCATTAATAATATTGTATGCCAAATGGGCTTCTATTCAGATTTATAATGTGTTATGCGATGTGCACATTAAATGGAGGTTTTTATAACATTTATTGAACTTATAGTTGTCATAACATTTATTTTGATTTCATATCTGTCAATATGCCACGTGGAAAAGGTGCCTCACGTCGTCGTGGAAATCTTAGGCAACAGGTTGATCATATGAGAAACCAGACCCGTTCATATTCTCACCCTAGGCATGTTCCACCTTCCCAACCAGAACCACAGCACAGGGCAAACTTACATGACATGGTCAGCTCACAACAAGCACAAGATAACCCCATGTACCCTCAAGCTGAACCACAACACATGAATTTTCATCAAATGCCAGTTTCATTAAATCAACCATCTGTTTCGACCATGCCACAGCAAATTCTACACCACCAGCAACAATTTATTCCTACAAGTACATTGTATCCTTCATCAGGAGCTCAGGCGCAATACATGATGCAGTTTCCTAGTGCCCTGCAACCACAGCCACATCTACGCATTGAACAACCTCCGGATCAACCGCAGCCTAAACTACCTATGGAGCAACAACTGCAGCCTCAGCCCCCCTTGGAACCTCAGCCATTATTTGAACCACACACATACGGTAACTTTAATTCTGTTTCTTCTGATATTTCTCTCCATGTTTCAAATAATTTAAAACAGAGAATTTGGAATGGAGAATTTATTGAACTCTCTCAACTTCTTTCAAGTAGCTCAAAAAAAGGATCAAGAACTACATATTTCATTTAGTAACGATAAGATTTCAGTTCTTCCAAAAAAATCTAACCAACAACAAGTTGTTTCAATAAAACAGTGGACATAATTTTCATGTATATTTACACAGACCGTCACCCGGACCAAGCAACTTTTGCATTATATGCACACAATTCGTATGGCATCTAAGAGACATAAGTCTGGGTGGTTAACATATGATGAGCAATTCAGGCTCCGTAAGTCGAAACATCCTTCTTCAAGTTGGGCAGTTATTGACATTGAATTATGGATGCTGTGTTTGACAGCACCAGTCAATCAAACTATTCAGCCAGTAACTTTGAAGCCTTGCTTTGAATTTAATAATAAAGGCTTTTGCCCAAAATTTAAATACCCCTACCAACATAGATGTTTGACATGTAAAGAATCTCATCCATCCATATATTGTATAAAATCAGTTTCTGGAAATTTCAGGGGAGGACAAGCTAGTCCAAGAAGATTTGTTGCTCCACAGGGAACTGTGGGCTTTAGGCCAAACACCAGTAAACAATGATTTATTAAAATTTCACCTAGAAGGCTATAATAATCAATCCGATGCAAACTATTTATTTGATGGTTTTACTTTTGGTTTCAAGCTCCAGTATTCTGGTCCGAGACTTCCTATTAATTCAAAAAATTTGAAATCTGTTTCCTATTATCCAGAAGTTTTAAGGGATAAACTTTTAAAATAAAAACATCTTGGTTGTATTTTAGGCCCATTTAATAAAAATCCATTACCTAACCTTAGGATAAACCCAGTGTGACTTGTGCCAAAAAAATCCGGTGGCTGGCGGCTTATTTCAAATTTTTCTCATCCTGACGGTTTTTCTGTTAATGATTTTATTGATCCGGATGTTTGCTCTGTACAATATTCAAAATTTGATAATGCAATTGAAATTATACAAAGTTTAGGTACTTCTTCCCTCATTGCTAATAAAAAAGATGTTAAATCTGCTTTTAATTTATGTCCAGTCTACCCTGGTGACTTTGATTTATTAGGTATCTGTTTTGATGACACATACTGGATTCAAAAAATGTTGCCACAAGGAGCATCTATATCTTGTGCAATTTTTGAAAATTTGCAACATTTATACAATTTTGTGTTTCAAAATAGGCAAACTCTAATAACATTGATCACTTTCTAGATGATTTTTTCTTTGCTGCTAAAAATGGAAATCAATGTCAAATGCTTTTAGATGCCTTTGATGGTATTTGTTATGATATGGGAATTCCTGTTAATGATGAAAAAACAGAAGGCCCAACCACGAAAATGGAATACTTGGGTTTTGAAATTGACACTGCTGAGGGCACCATTTAAGTGCCATCAGATAAAATTGAAAAAGTTAAATCCATGTTAGAAGAAGCATTAAGTTCCAAAAAAAAAACTTTGAAAAAATTGAAATCAATGGTAGGTCTTCTTAATTTTTTCTCAAAAGCTATTCCATCTGGAAGGGCATTTAATTGCCGCTTATATGCAGCCATGTCTCAAGTTAAGAAAACATACCATTTAGTAAGACTTTCTTTAGGCATGAAAGAAAATATTAGAATTTGGTTGCTTTTTTATATAATTTTAATGGTCAAACCATTTTTAGTGACCTTCTCTGGACACCTGACAATCAACTTGAATTATTTACTGATGCTGCAGGTTCAAAAGAATTAGAATGTAGGGCATATTTCCAGGGTAGCTGGGTTTATTTTAAATGGCCAGATTCTTTAGGCATGAAAGAAAATATTAGAATTTGGTTGCTTTTTTATATAATTTTAATGGTCAAACCATTTTTAGTGACCTTCTCTGGACACCTGACAATCAACTTGAAT